AGGAGTAGGCAACCCCCAGCACGGGTGCCAGAGAGTGGCACATGAAGGCATTTTGCTTGGCACACGGACCTTGAGGCAGAAGGCAGGGAGGGGGCTGAGGCTGCACTGTCACAATAAGGATCAGGCCCCTTGCTGCTCCCCCACCGTCCACCCTGGCACACCAATGTCTTACAAGCCAAGTTGGCAGGTGTTTTCGGCACATTGTCCAAAAATATTGCCGACCCCTGGTATAGAATGAAGCTTGGGGACTTTATTCAAGATACTTTGGGACCATTTATGTTTTTTTGGCTACATTCACAGTAGTTTATTTATGAAGCATTCAAGTGAATTGGTCAGGAGGCAATTAATATAAACATCAATAAAGAAAGGTAGAGGAACATTATATTTGACTGTAAATTAGCTGATCTACTTTTGTGTGGTCTTAAAGGAACGTGCATACAAACATGCATATGTAGAGACAGTATTGCTGGGAGTGCATTTTTATTATTTTATCTCTTCAGGCTGACTACATGCAACTACCTTAAAACACAGCATACATGTATACTGGTTAGAAGAATCACTCTGCTTTACATAAATCCAGCAGTCGTGCTGAGTAGATTCCTCCAAATTCAAATTAATTTTATCCCATTCTTAAACATGTGCATACCCTCCCTCTTTTCTATAAGAGGAAGCTGAATATTCAAAACAAATTTGTGTGTGTGCATGCGTGCACACTCCCCTCCCCCCCATACATATACACAGACACACATGCACATGGCTCATGAGTCAGGAATATTTACCTTATACTAAACATTTGCTTAAAAAAAATGAAAAAAACCCCCAGATTTCTGTATTTGGGTATGGATTGTATTTACACTTCTATATTCTTGAGCAAAGGTTGAAATTGATATGTGAAGATTTCTAAACAGGAAACGAGAGTTTAAACCTTTAGACTTATTTCTGTTGATTTTACTTATTACTAGACAAAGAGTATACTACATTTTTTCCTTAGAGAGATAGATAATAAAGCAATCTTCAGTTCAGGATATATATTCATATCTATCACGGTATGCATAACTACTTTCAATACTGACAAAGAAACTGCTAATAGTCTATATTTACTTGATAAGTCAACATAGAATCATAGAACCGGAAGGGACCTGTAAGATCAAGTCCTCCCCCCAACCATAGGCAGGAAGTTATTGAGCTCAGATGAGCTCAACAAAGTGCATGTCCAGCCTCAATTATCTTGAACATCTCCAAGGATGGTGACTGTACCGCCTCTGCTGGGATCGTGTTCCAGATTCTGGCGACCCTTAGAGAGAATTTTTTTCCTTATGTCTAGCCTGAATTTACTGTCTATTAGCTTATGCCCATTGGTCCTCATCCTCGTCCTCCCTTCAAGTGCCTTCCTGAAGACTTGCTCCCATAGATCTTGATGCTCACCCCTGACATACTTGTAAGCGGCTATCAAGTCACCACTCAGTCTTCTCTTATTCAGACTGAACATGCCCAGTTTCCGGAGTCTCTCCTCATAGGGCCTATCCTCCATGCCTGTGAAAATACGGATGGCCCTTCTTTGTACCCTCTCAAGCTTATCCATATCCTTCTTGAAGTGCGGTGCCCAGAACTGGATGGAGTACTCCAGCTGAGGCCTCACTAACGCCGAATGGTGGGTGGACCACCACCCATCATGTAGTTATGATGAGGGTTCTTCTTACCCAGATGAAGGACCTTGCACTTCTCCCTGTTAAACTTCATCTGATTCTGTTTCACGCATGAATCCAGTCTGTCAAGGTCATCCTGGATCTTTACCCTATCCTCTGATATGCCTGCATTTCCCCACAACGTGGTATCATCTGCAAACTTGATCACTGAGCTTTCCACCCCCTAGTCTGAATCATTAATAAATATATTAAAGAGCACAGGTCCAAGCACCGATCCCTGAGGGACATCCCTGGAGATGGCCCTCCAGGATGAGGCATTCCCATTGACTACAACCCTCTGGGAGCAGCCTATAAACCACTTGCCCACCCATCTCACTTGTAGATTGGTCCAGCCCAGTACCCTCCAGTTTGCTTGAGAGAATCTTGTGGGAGATGGAATCAAAGGCTTTGCTGAAGTTTAGACATCAACCTCATGTCCCTCATCCAGATGGCTAGTTTCCTGGTTGTAGAAGGACACTAGGTTTGTCAGGCATGATCTACTCTCAACAAAGCCATGCTGGTTGCTTCTTAACATCCTGTGGGTTACCAGCTTGTGATTGATGGTCTCCTTAACAAAGTTTTCAAAGACTTTACCCAGGACTGAAGCCAGGCTGACCGGTCTGTAGTTTGCAGGGCCATCCCTTCTTCCCTTTCTTAAAGACAGGCACCACACTGGCCCTCTTCCAGTCATCCAGGACCACTCCCAAGTTCCACAACTCTTCAAACAACTGGCCAGCGGTGCTGGTATAAGCTCAGCCAGTTCCTTCAGGACTCTCAGGTGCAGGTCGTCTGGCCTAGCAGACTTGGAAAATGTCCAAGTGTTGCAGGAGATCCCTCACTTGTTCAGGACTGATTACATGTAATCTGTTGTCTTCCCAATGTTCCCTGGGCCTCCAGTCAGGTGAATGGCCCCCATTTGATTTCAGGAATACCAATGTAAAGTATGTATTTAAGAGTTCTGCCTTTTTGCGGGCACCGACTGTGGGCTGCCCCCAAGTATTCAGTAGGGGTTCCACAGTGGATCCTGATTATTTCTTGCTTCCTATGTATCTGTAGAAGGACTTTTTGTTGTTTTTTTTTATACCAGTTGGCAGCTTGATTTCCATGCCTGCCTTAGATTTTCATGTTTTGTATCTATAGACCCTGGTGATACAGGTGTATTTTTCTCTGGTTGGTTAGCCATTCTTCCATTGCTTATATGCTTCCTCTTTCTTTTTCCATAGCTCCCTAATATCCCTGTTGAGCCAAGCAGGTTTCTTGGCTCCTTTTCTGCTTTTTGTCCATGTGGGGATAACATGTTTTTTACCCTTGAGAATTGCCTCCTTAAGGAAGCACCATGGTTGCTGGACTCCCAAATCATCCAGTTGCTGGTTGTAGAGGGCCTCACCAATTAGCCTCTTGGGTTTGCCAAAATCTTCCTCCCTGAAGTCTAGGATTTCTGTTCTGCTGACTGGTTTCCCATTCTTATGGTGGATGGTGAACCTCATCAGGTCATGATCGCTGTCGTCCAGAGTACCACTAATCCACAGGTCACCTATGACATCCTCTCCCGTGGTCAGCACTAGATCTATAGTGGCCTTACCCCTAGTAGGCCCTTCCACAACCTGTGTCAGAAACGGATCGTTTATCGTGGCCAAGAAGTTGGCTGGCCTGCCGGAGGTGGCTGAGTGGTCCTCCCAACAGATGTCATGGCAGTTGAAGTCACCCGGGACAATCATGTCTCTAGTTCCTGCTGCCTCAATCAGCTCTCCAGAGAATACCTAACTGCACTCCTTGTCTTGGGAGGGAGGCCTGTAGTAGACTCCCACCCTCAGGTGTTCCTCTCCTGAACTCCCTTGTAGCTTGACCCAGAGGGTCTCGAGGGACTTCTCCCCGCTATCAAACCTGACCTGCATGGAGGGGTACCACTCTTTCACAGAGAGCCACACCTTCTCCCTTCTTCCCAACCCAATCCTTCTGATAAAGCCTATACCCCTCAATATTCACTGCCCAACCATGTGTGCCATCTGTCTGTCAACCCAATCAGATTGAATTCCTCATCCACCAGAAGGAGTGCTAGTTCCTCCTGTTTATTTCCCATGCTTCTGGCATTCCCATAAAGACATCTAAGCTCTCTCCTAGTTGCCTTAGCTTTTCTGTCACACCATCTGTGTCTCAATATGTCAGTACTTATCTGGACTTTCACTGCTTGAACACCTTCCTGTGTGTCATTGTGGCTAGAGGATTTGTGCACAGCACTGAAACCTTCTTCCCAGATGTGCCTAATTTAAAGCCCTCCTCAACAAGTTGGTGACTCTTGTGGTGAAGAACTTCTCCCCTCTGCCTGTGAGATGAATACCTTCCCTTGCATGTAGACTGCTGTAGCTAAACTGCGTGCTAAGGTCGAGGTATCCAAAGCCCAAACAGTGACACCATCTCCTAAGCCTGTGGTTGACCTCCTTGATGCACTCCTCCCTCTGACAGCCACGGCCTCTGACTAGGAGAATTGAGAAAGCCACTTGTGCTTCTAGGTCCTGAGCTTCCCATGATCCTCCTGATTCACCTGAGCTTCCCATGATCCTCCCAGGGCTACTTCTTGCTGCATCATTGGTGCCCAAGTGGACAAGGAGCACAGGGCAGTTGTCAGTAGGGTGGAGCAGTTTAGGGATCCTTGCCATAACATCTCTGATCCTGGGTCGTGGAAGGCAACAGACATCTTGAGCAAAGGGGGCTGAATAACAAATGGCTCCTTCTGTGCCCTGCAGCAAGGGGTCTTCTACAACTATCACCCTACGTTGTTTACTTGCTGGGGTCAGCTGATCCCATATAGATGCACCTTTCATCAATGGTGTGAGGGCTTCGTAGCTGTTGTGCAGGGTTATTGGTGGGACAACTGATAGACATGTGGCTTCATTCCTGATGTCACCAATGTCCACCTGCTATCGGTATGGGCATCTCGTTCAGGCCCACTTTTCTACCTGGTCTCTGTGGCTTCCTTCTCCAGGTGAAGGGCCTGGAAGTAAGCATCAATCTCTGCCTGTTTGCATGACTGCCTGGGAGGGAGGGGGGGTGGAAGTGCCATGGGGCGGGAGAGGGGACACTGTGCCCTGCTCAGATCATCCCGGGGGGGTGCAAATGTAGGCATTGGTCCCCGGGCACTGGAGACCCACCGTGCACCACTATGTTTTTAACACTAAAACAATTGATTTGCTTTTCCTTGTGTAAAAGAGTAAACACAGAGAACAGATATTTCAAACTGTTAATTTCAAGCATTTTAAATATTTAACAAGGCAGAGAACATTGAGATTATCAAAGAAGCAGCACCAAAAAGGATATGCTTATCTTTTCCACAAACTTATCGTGTGCATCTTCTGTTTTAGGAAACTTCTCAATGTCACTTTCTAGACGCTGGATCTGATGTTCCATCGTATCAAGGCTGCTCTTGAGACACTGAGCTGAAACTAAGATAAATGGTACAACAGATCAGAAAAATGTACCAGATTCTGATTTAAAGGGGAAAAGGTATTAGTAAAGTATTGCTGAGGCAAAGAGAATAAGTCCATGAAACAGATTCATTTTTTCTGAATTACTAATCATAAACATTTTCCCCACCATAAAATAAGTGAGTGCATATAATGTAATATAATATACCAAATCATCATGTTTAATGTGGGAGTGTGACCATTTTATTCAGTCATTAGTTCAAATGAATCCATTTCGATTTAAATTTATTGACAGAAATTGTAATATTTTATTCTTTTAAATCTAATCTGAAGATTAAGGAGAAACTAAGTTTCAAAGACATTTTATCTTATGAATACATGTACTTGGCTACACTAGTGATTTAAGGAAAAATTATAGAAAAGAGATTAAATATTTTCCTTTCATGAAATACACTATTTCTATAAACCAACATCTGTGAAATTTCTTAGCTCCTAAAATCTAAAAAAATATGGGTGTTGTTGATACATTAAACAAATACAAGAATAGAACATATGGTAAAACAGTAAAAGAAAAGGAAAAAAAAACCCATACACTTCACCATAGTATCTCAGCATGCCTGTTAACACTGTATTCACTGTGGCTTTAATTACCTTTTAAATTCTTTATACTTTCTTTGTTTCCACTTTTCCACTTAGAACACTAACTAGCTATCTTAAGTACCATGTTCAAAATACTTTAGCATTCCATACTTATTTTTCACTTCTTCCAGCCAGATAACTTTAGACTTTTATTTTTTGTTTTACTTGCTATAAAATATATGCATGCCTGCCACTATCTAAGATGACAATTTTCTGGGTTTGTTCTCTGCCAACATGACAGCTGTGAGGGAAGGAGGGAGTATTTTGGGGTTGGGGTGGTGTGGTCCCTAGGGACACGAGCCAACCCATTAGGCCTAATCTGGATCTGTAGCTTGGGCATCTGATACCTGTTTCCAGGTAGACAGGGAAGCCTGCAGAGTACACTAGGATATTAAAGGCCTAAAGTTCAAGGGGATAACTTGAAGGGGATGACACATCCTTGGAGAGCACCAGAACTATCAAACCTTGAAATATATGACCAACAGATCGAGGGAGGTGATGCTCCCTCTCTATGCAGCATCAGTCAGGCTGCAGTTGGAGTACTGTGTCCAGTTTTGGGCACCGCACTTCAAGAGGGACACGGAGGATCTGGAAAGGGTTCAGAGGAGGGCCCCTCGCATGATTAGTGGTCTCCGTGAAAGACCCTACGAGAAGAGTTTGAGAGATCTAGATCTCTTCGGCCTATACAAAAGCCGGCTGAGGGGTGACCTTGTAGCTGCCTATAAATTTATCAGGGGAGGACAGCAGGGAACTGGGGATGCACTGTTTACCAGAGCGCCCCAGGGAGTAACTAGGAATAATGGGTGCAAACTAGCAGAGAGTAGATTTAGGTTAGACATTAGGAAGAAATTGTTTACAATAAGGGTAGCCAGAGTCTGGAATGGGCTTCCAAGAGAGGTGGTGCTACCACCTAACTTGGAGGTCTTAAAGAGGAGGCTTGACAATCACCTGGCTGGGGTTGTCTGTCCTCGGGCCTCTTTCCTGCCAGGAGCAGGGGGTTGGACACGATGATCCACTGGGTCCCTTCGGACTCTATAATCTATGAATCTATGTATAAATGTTTCCTGGCTGAGTACAGATGATGAGAGGACAAAACTCAAACACAAGAAACAGGAAAACAAAATTAATATACATCAGCTCATACAAATTGAATTCTTCATTTGTTTGGAAATGGCAACCAGCAACTAGGCTTTTATTGGAGAAGCTTTGAAATATCTTGAACCTTAACTGATCTAACAGTCATTCATAATTTGTCTTAGAATGCCTGCTATTTAATGAGATACAATGAAGCAAGAGGCTTCATTCCCCTACTTCATGTGGGTAGAATGCAGAATGTGTGACATCACAATGTCCAAGATGTGCAATGTGATATCAAAGGAAGAAAAAAAAAAATTCACTTCATGACAACATAAAAATGAAGTTGGAGTATGAAGGGCATTGGTCAAAAGTTTCCAAGAAAAACCCAAACTTCTTCTAAAACACAAACAGAAACAAACAATAAGGCAGGTTTTTCCATAAAGCCTCCTTTTAAAATTTCTCTCATAACGCATAACAGGCAATTTTGGCTCGGTAATAATCATTAATAGCTTATCTAGAAGGTTAGAGAACCAATTTAGAACCATGCTCTTCCTTTTGATGTGCATCACTCACTGTTCCAGAAACATGGTGTGGAATCAAAACAACAGATTTTCCAACGTCAATCTCCATTTCCATAAAAAATAAGTAACATTTGATGTGGCTTCACAGTCAGATTATTCCTCAATATTACAATCTAAATGTCTGGAACTATGTGTTTTACCATTTTTCAAGGAGACTTCTGAGAGGCAAACTACTGTTTTTTTTTTATAGTTGCCCTGCACATAGTTGCCTCCAAGACAGATATCTGTTGTCTATTTAGTCTCTCTCATGGTATCTCACTGTGAGGGGTGGACCCAGAGGGGGTGCAGGACTGCAGACACACACCTTTTTTTTCTGTGCACTGCATGTGCAGGGAGTTCACTGGCATGTCAACAGAGCTCCTACTCGGAGCTCCTCATGTACCACAAACCCTTATGACCTCACCAGCTGATTGGTGATGGGTCTGTACCAAAGTCCTGCTTTCAAGGAGCTCCAGAGCATGGGATGAGCACTGCTACTGTTCCCTCTCCTCCTTTTTACTTCCCCTACCTGAATATATCAGCAGGGAAAAGCAGGAGAGGAGCACCCAGTAAGGACACTCAGCTCTGGAGACCTGGGGCTGTGCACTGCTACTGCTGTTCCCCCTTCTCCTGCTCATGAATTCAGAGAGGGAAGAAGTGAGGGAAAGAACGAAGAACAGCGACACTTGACCATTCACAAAAGCACAGGGGGTAATTCCACACAGGCATACAACACATATATATATTTAACCAGAGTGAATTAACCACTCACAAAATTATATACGCAGGCTGTGAATACAGAGATAGTGAAACTGATGCAGCTGTCACTTCACTATACATAGAGCCTTGATTCTTTTATCAGGACCCATTTTACACTGGTATAAATCTACTGAAATTAATGTGGTTATTACTATCAATTTAAATTGACACATATATGTTTGGAAAATGAAGTAAATACCACATTCTAATACAGTTATTTTATTTAACTTCTTTAGCTCCTTTAACATAATAGGTTAATTAACTGAAAATATACCAGGTGAGTGAAAGATTCAGCCAACAAAAGCAGGCCTAGTCCTTACAATGAACCTTACTATTCACATCATCTAAGTTGAATGCTGTGCCCATGTATATATTCCTTAAAGTCACTATCAAGGTAGTACAGGATAAACATAAAAACAACTACTGGAGTGGCCGGCACAATATAGAATCGAACTGCTTACAGCTCTATTACTTTTATCGTTTTTAGGGTACTGGTCCTGAAAAGGAGCATCAATATTGGTGCTTGAACTGAAAAACTTGTTTGAATTAAAATAATAAATACATATTTGTCAGGAATTTGGATAGGGAGATAAACAGCATGGAAGTAAAATGTGCTAGAATTGAAAAAATAAATTAAAAGAATGCACATGGTTATTTGGTTGGTAAAGAGAGAATAGTAGCTGGTAAGTAAATTGGCAACTTTATAACAGATAATAAAGTTTAACTGTTTTCAACAATTTGAAAAAATAGATGTATAACTGCTTCGTAAGAATGGTTGCTTACTTTTGTGTCTGAAATTTAAAAGTATGAAGACAAATGCTGCAAACAATGACAAGCATTATGGGCTGCTGTGATTAATTAAATGAAAAAGGGGACACAATTTTTTTGGTGGAAAACAGTTCAGATACAAGTCCAAGCTGACTGTCAGTCTAAACCAGGACATGAGAGGGCTATATGGAATAGTTTTACTTCCCACATGGTAAATGCCCAAGTTCCATTAAAGGATGGAACAAATTAATTGTAATAGTTAAGATATATGAGAGTTCATATAAAATCCTTGAAAGTCTGGATTACTGGGATGTATTTGTAAAGAAATTAATGAAGCCAGACCTTGAAAAAGAAAGTATCATCAAATAAGTGGATATGCCTAAAAATAGAAAACAAACCCCAAAACACAAATGAGTACTTACTTTGCCAAAGGCTCCTAAAAACTTCAAGCGTGTAAGCAAGAAAACTGCCTACTACTGATAAAATGGTTACTTAATCATTAGTAAACAAGTGCAACCCTCATATTCTATATGCAGACTGAATTTTGTTTCTATGTTTGGCAATATTTTAAACCTCAGCTCCTGGATAAAGATGTAACAGCAAGATGAAAAACAGATTGTACTATACAATTAAAATAATGACTGACAACATTGAATTCAGTACTCAGACAGTTGCATTAAAAATGTAGGCTGAGAAACAAAGAGACAGGGTGATGGTGACTTCATATAAAAAGCCTAAAAGCTAAGGAACTTGATCAGGAAATGTGACTTGGGTTTCAGACTTTCCTCACTCTGAAGGGGTTTAAACCTACTGCATTTTTCACCTCTCAAGGGAGTCTAACCAGCAAGGTTCCTGTTGAAGGTGGCCCACTGCTCAGAAACATGTGCAACATGTATACACAGAGAAAGAAAGCAAGAATGGGTTTGTAAGTACAGCAAGGAGAGCCACTATAACAGGATGGAGGAGAGGAGGATGAAGGGAAAATCCTGGGTTCTAGTCCCTGCTCTGAAGGGATGCTCTTGCATTAAATGCTCTTGCATTAAAAGTCATTGGATAAGATGCATAAACAGAAGGGGGAGCAAGGAGCAGAACTAATGAGAAATTTGTTATGATTCCTGAAAAGTGTTGGACTAGTAAAGTTTGTTTTGTCATAATTAAGGCAAAATACTCTACACAAGCAATACAATTTCCTTGAACAGGTGGACTTTGTCATCA